GTAGGGACCACCCCACCATACGTCAGATCGCGTGAGTGGGAGGCCGGCCGCCGGTATATAAGGCGCTCCGGCGAGCATAGCATTACCAGTTCCCGATCCCGAGTCCTACCTAGTACAACTCCTGATCCGAAACCTATATCGCGTTACACCAGGCTACGGGCTACCCGTAGTTACGCCGGGTTACCCGGTTGCTGGGACGACGCACCCTAATACCTAGCGTTACACCAGGTCACGGGCTACCCGTGGTTATGCCGGGCTTCCTGGTTGCTGGGACGGCGCATCCTACCCCGCGTTAAACCAGGTCACGGGCTATCCGTGGTTATGCCGGGGTTCCCGGTTGCTGGGACGGCGCATTCTCGATCCCTCGCGTTAAACCAGGTCACGAGCTACCCGTGGTTATGCCGGGCTTCCCGGTTGCTGGGACGGCGCACTCTTCGTTTATAAGACCGTACCGCGCACCGTTCAACCTGGACGACCGTTTGTCTACCCCGCGACCGTTTCTACCGTAAGATCACTTTGGTCTCCGTGTACCTTTCTTTATAAATACCGCGACCTGCTATATTGTAAGACCGTTGTACATATACCGTGACCAGTAAGACCGCTCCGGTCTCCGCGTTCTGATAGACTCTAATACAGCCTTGTATATACCGCGACCTGTTTATACCATAAGACTGCACTGTATATACCGCGCATTATAATTGTAGAGTGCATGAGCCGCGCTCGCTTCCCGAGCGCCACGCGCACCAGCCACACGCGGAACTCTGTATGCGAATTTTTGTACGCACCGCTCTTGCATGTCGCATTGTGAATAACAACCGCTCACGCGACGCTCTGTATGCACCCGCATTGTGCATTGCTTTCAGTGTTAAATATCTTTAATAACCGCTTGAATAAACCTAATTGTTTAACCGCTTATACCGAGGTAAAGTAAGTTGGAGTTTCCCCCTTCTCCCGAATCCTGGCACCGGCGAGCCTTGATCCGCGGCGTACGGGAAAGGTGAACCGTTACAATATTAACATATATACACTTACTAACTAATAAAATTTTCAACGTCTTTATACCAATTCAAAACATAACCTTATGTACAAACAATTTTGTTTGGTAACTCATTGTCAGTTGTATTATCAGTCCATTTTGTGATCGGCTTTGTACCCTGTAAATACTGAGCAAAAAATATCGTTTGTCTTTCGTCTGATAATTTTATATCAGATACATTTTCTACATCCAAATAGAAAACATCATCTGAAAAATTAATTCATAAATTAATGAAAAAAATAAAAATAAAATAAAAAAATAATAAATAATAAAATAATGATAAAATTATAACGTACTTGCAACTTTCACATATCCTTTAATTTGAACATGCTCTCCCTTCTTATAATAATTTTCATGTTCGTAATTCATGATTTGTACCTCCAATTTATAAGTTTCGTCTGTAATTGATCCGTAACCATCACTTTTAGAATTATTAGTAAACGTATTAAAATTAGTTTTGATTAATCTGTGTACAACTGAAAAATAATTTATTTTCATATTAAATTTATTCCAATTATAATAATAAAATATTTGATTAAAAATAAAATTCGAATATAATTCACCATATCTAAATATTCGTATCTTATAGAGTAGAAAAAGTTTCGGACTTCTTGATTAATCATACAAATTTTATTATATAATCATCATATACAAATTATATAATTATCTTGATATATAATATACATATAAATGCAAAAGAATATTATTGACACTGAATATTGTTTTTATACTTACGAATACATGTATCTAAATACTCTGGAATATTCGGAATATTAATTAATTTAGGCTTTACTGCATCAATCTTCGATTTCAAATTAAAAATGCCAAGGTTATTTATTATAGTATTCGACCGAATAATTAGTTCATATGGTAAGGTACCATGATTAAAATCCGCAATTTTTGGCTTCCTAGCCTTCGCCCCATCAATATGAATTATCTATTAAGTGCAAGAATGTTATTAACATAAATTGAGTTATAAATAAAATTATTGTTAAATGTTAAATAGTAGTTTAATTATAGTTTTTAATTGTTTTCTTTTACCGTTTTTGTTTATTGATAATAAATTGTTTTTTATTAATTTATTTTTAATTATTGTTAATTATTATTGTTCTTAATATAAATTTATTACTCGGTGTTTGAGATTGAGCATCTCCAAAGGGAGCGCTCGAAAATTGGTGCGTCAGCGGCCATTTCGCGCGGCGCACGGCTCACCGCAAATTAAATCACGCGCAAACAGCGGCGCTGCACGAATCACGCCAGGCCCGTGGCATCGCTTGTGCCGTTCGAAGCGGGCCACGCAGCGGTCACCCGAGAGAGCTAGAATTACAAATAAATGCGAGTAACAACGTTCTAATGTTCCTAATCATCGCAAACAACACCAAGCTCGATCTTTCGCGAAAATACGTCGAACATTCTAGAATCACCAAAAGAACGATTGTATAAAAGCTCTCTCGGGGAACTGCCGGGCGCACTCAATCGTGAACTCCATCCGTGACAGTGTGTTATTACATCGTCTAAACTCTCGTGATAGAAAAGTCGCTCGTTTTTCTAGTTCGTACTCTCGCTTACGAAACGCGAAGTTTTCGATAGTAATAAAAAAGATTTCTCGTCGCTCGCGATTAATCTCTCGCAATTAAAACGCGCCGTTTATTCCGTCGCTCGCGGAATCGCGTCGTTTATACCGTCGCTTGCGGTATGCAAAATACATCCGCCGCTCGCGGAGAGTATGTTTGTGCATCCGGTGCAAACGCGATCTCGCAGGGCTTCTCTCGCCCACGTCCACTTCTATCTCGCACATTTGCTGGTCCTTCGAGCCGGATCCCTTGCTATCCGGTGCCTGTGCGTGGGGTGAGTGCAGTGCCTGCAGTGATTCCGTCTGTGCTCTTCCGGACGTCACTCGCCTGAAAGACAACCATGAATAAGGACAAGGAACCAACGGTCCGTTCGCAGTCGGACTTATACGGACGCATTTCCCGCGCATACGAGAACTTGCGGAAGTCGGGAACCGCCAACATAACGATCGAGCTGGCGGAAGCGCGACTTCAAGCCCTCGAGGTCAACTGGGCGAAGTTCGAGTTCCAGCACAACAAGCTTCTCGAACACTGGGAAGCCCTGTCGGAAAGCACATACGTGAAAACGGACATGCCAACGCTAGCTGAGGAGGCGTACCTGACGCAGAAGGACATGTTCTTGGACACGCTTCGACGCCTCAGAGCCGCGGAGAGGACCGAGACTCCAGCCTTCGGACCGCCGCCGTCGCATCCGGCGCGAACTACACTGCCGAGGATCCAACTCCCGCAGTTCTCCGGACTCTACGAGGATTGGCCTTCGTTCCGGGACCTCTTTCACTCCCTCATCGGGAAGGACGAATCCACCGCCGAAGTCGAGAAGCTCCATTACCTGAAGTCGTGTCTGAAAGGAGAAGCAGAGCTCATGATTCGAAGTCTACCTACGACAGGCGAGAACTTTGGTCGCGCGTGGAAGGTTCTCACGGACTACTACGAGAACAAGCGGCTGCTCGTGCAGTCCTACATAGCCAGGTTCACGGCAATTCAGCGGATGAGGGGTGAGTCAAGTGCGGACCTACGCAAACTTTATCGACGCGCCCCATCGCGAAGATCGTCCCCCTGCCGGAGAGCCACTCCGACGAGCAGGAGAACGAACCCGCGCACCGCGCGTGACGAGCCCACCCGTCGGGCTGCAAAAAAAAACAAGCTAAATTATTTGTACATTATATATTACATAACTGCGAGGCATATTGTGCGTAAATATCCGTATTTTGCAATGTAAATATGTACATGTGTTTTTAAAAAGGGAAACATTTATAAGAAGACAGCAATTATCGATTCGAGCACAATGCACTTCGTCGAGCATACGCGAGATACACGCATCAATTTGCCATGCGACTGGCATAATCAACACGAGCGTGTAAACAAAACTGCATAAAAATTACCTGGCGCGTTTTGCGGCCTCACGCACAGTCGATCAGCTGTGAAATTCCAGCTCGCTCTCCCGCGTCTCGCTTCCCGCATCTACAAGCCATGCGCGGAATTCGGCGTCGCGCGGCTCAGGTGAGGCTAGTTGAGTCTCGTGCCGTATCTTATTATACAGGGTGTTCCGGAACAACCTTCCGTCCGTGAAATGACGTATTCCTGATACAATTCTAATTTAAAGCCTAATTTTATGTTGTAAGATAAAATAGTTAGCGACCCATGCGGTGGTAATGAGACGGTCAGCTGTGTCGGGCGCTCGCGGCGCGCCGCGCCGCTCCTGCCTGCCTTCTGTATTCGACGCGTGATTTGTTAACTATTTTTGCTTATAACTCAAAAATTACGCTTCAATTCAAATTTTGGTAAAGGAAAAATCGTCTTAGAATTGTATCAGGAATACGTCATTTCACGGACGGAAGGTTGTTCCGGAACACCCTGTATATAATTAGCGCTACCTATGAGATCAAACAACTCATACTCACCGAACACTGTCTCACGCCACGACATCTCAGCTCCGCTCCCGTCTCGTCTCGGCGGATACTCCGACGCACTTTGGCACTCCACTCACTTCACCTCTCACGCGTATTGACCACACGGGTCGCCGATCGACCACGTGCCGTGGATCATACGCGAGCATCATGCGTAACTCGCGGCACCGTTCGTTCACTGCCAGCCGCAGGGCCGCGCCATGCGGGGGCCCACGGGGCGCTAATCAGCAGCGTGCTATGTCGCCGGAGTTTCGGCGAGGCGGGCGGGATGTTTGAGATTGAGCGTCTCCAAAGGGAGCGCTCGAAAATTGGCGCGTTAGCGGCCATTTCGCGCGGCGCACGGCTCGCCGCAAGTCAAATCACGCGCAAACAGCGGCGCAGCACGAATCACGCCAGGCCCGCGGCATCGCTCGTGCCGTTCGAAGCGGGCCACGCAGCGGTCACCCGAGAGAGCTAGAATTACAGATAAATGCGAATAACAACGTTCTAATGTTCCTAATCATCGCAAACAACACCAAACTCAATCTTTCGCGGAAACACGTCGAACATTCTAGAATCACCAAAAGAACGATTGTATAAAAGCTCTCTCGGGGAACCGCCGGGCGCACTCGATCGTGAACTCCATCCGTGACAGTGTGTTATTATATCGTCTAAACTCTCGTGATAGAAAAGTCGCTCGTTTTTCTAGTTCGTACTCTCGCTTACGAAACGCGAAGTTTTTGATAATAATAAAAGAGATTTTTCGTCGCTCGCGATTAATCTCTCGCAATTAAAACGCGCCGTTTATTCCGTCGCTCGCGGAATCGCGCCGTTTATACCGTCGCTTGCGGTATTCACCGCCGCTCCGCCGCTCGCGGAGAGTATCTTTGCGCGTCCGGTGCAAACGCGATCTCGCAGGGCTTCTCTCGCCCACGTCCACTTCTATCTCGCACACTCGGTTCGGCTGCAAATGATGTTCGATTCGTTCTATTTCTGTATTCCACGCCACTATTTGTATGCGATGACTACTATTATTATTTAAAATAAATTTCAACAATCTGTAATGTTGTGCTTTGCCAACTATTTTTGGTTCGTCGATTTGGTAAATATGGATATTAGGTTACACCTCACCGATGACTTTGACCTTGACATATGTTGTCAAGGACATGACCCTGAGTAACTTTTCCTTATAACTTAACCGGCGGTCTCTTATAATTTCTGAGATATTTAAAGTTAATATTTGGGTAATAATATAGAGACAGAGAGACAGTCCGCCCCACAATTGTTGCATGGATGAGAAAGTATATGCGTGGACGCAGTGAGTTCCGCCCCCCCCCCTACGGGGGGCTCCACTTCCGGAAGATATAACCTAACCCAAACCTATTTCTGATTTAAAACTAAAATTTGGTTTGGGTTAGGTTATATCTTCCGGAAGTGGAGCCCCCCTGTAGGGGGCGGGACCCACTGTGCGCACGCATATACTTTACAAAACAAAGCGAAGTTCGCCCCACAATTGTTGTATGGATGGGAAAGTATATGCGTGGATGCAGTGGGCTCCATTATAAAAAAACTAGACACATAGGTTTGCGTTGAACCTCGCTTTGCGTGGAAAGTAAAAAAACCCAAAGAGCTTCGTCTCTGGAAATATAAAGAAACACTTTTTTCACGTCTGATCTACATAAATACAATGTAAACAACCTTTATTTTTCTTTATTTTATAATAGAAAAATCATTAAAATTGTGAAATCATAACTTTAAATATCTCAGAAACTATAAGAGACCGCCGGTTAAGTTATAAAGAAAAGTTACTCAGGATCATGTCCTTGACAACATATGTCAAGGTCAAAGTCATCGG